AGTAAGTGGATTAGTTAGAATTAACATTCGATAGGGCATTGATTGGTACCATTATTTACTGTAAAAAAAAAAAAAAAGTCATAAGTAAAAATCTTACTCACTATAGAAATGACAAAAAAGTAAGTGAATTAGTTAGAATTAATGTTTGATAGGTCACTGATTTGTATTATTATTTACTGTAAAAAAAAATATCATATATAAAGAACTTACAAACTATATAGGTGACAAAAAAGTAAGTAGATTAGTTAGAATTAATGTTCGATAGGGCATTGATTTGTATCATTATTTACCATAAAAAAAAAAAAAATGTAAAGAACTCACTTCCTATATAGATGACAAAAAGTAAGTGGATTAGTTAGAATTAATGTTTGATAGGGCATTGATTGGTACCATTATTTACTGTAAAAAAGAGTTGTATGTAAAGATCTTACTCGCTGTAGAAGTGACAAAAAAGTAAGTGGATTAGTTAGAATTAATGTTCGATAGGGCACTGATTTGTATCATTATTTACTATAAAAAAAATGCATATGTAAAGAACTTACTGACTATACAGGTGACAAAAAAGTATGTGGATTAGTTAGAATTAACGTTCGATAGGGCATTGATTTGAACCATTATTTATTGTAAAAAAAAACAATTCTGTTCATTTCACCTACACTCAATTCACTGACTTCTTGAACTCCCAAGAGTAGACTACACTTGTAAAAGCACCACGCTGACGTTTCAGTAAGCCCACCTAACTTTCTAGTAATAAACTTGGATTCATGTGCTCTGCTAATGACAAATTTGAAATGTAATTCTTCAGCCAAATTCTTACCTGACTACGGTTAACAAACAAACAATATGCGTTGGAAACTTTCAATTGGTCAATAGCATGACAGATATATAAAAAAAAAGATCATGTAACCGGGGTCCTAGTGGCAGTATACTTGGTTCTCGGACCAATCTTCCATGCTTTATTTCGAGTAGGCTTTATTTTTTGGTTGTGTTTTTTTAACTATGAAATTCGGGTATCGTTATTCATAAGTACAGGAGTAGCTAGTTTAGATGATTGTTATGCACTCCTTGAATATGTGCCAGGTTTGTGGCGCAGGTTTCCTGAATTACGAATCAGATCTCAAGATTAGATGTGAAGTAACACGACCAGAAAATTTTAAAAAAACGTTCGTTTTATCAAAAATCATTGATTTTCCGAAAACCTGCGTAAGAAACCACCTTTGGTGCTCTAACAAAAAGGTTTATTGCGCAATTTTACTACATACCTCTATATTGTCTAATATAGACGCTTAACCTTAACAGATTTATATAAACTTTAAAGAAGTTTTCTGCGACATAAGCAATCAAGAATTGCGATTGTTATGCAGAGTGATATCACTTTTCCGGAATTTTAAGTCACGTTTTAATATACGCATTATGTATGCACATGAGTTGTATACACCAGCTTGTGATAATGTTATAGAAATGGAAATTTGATATATTTTTAGAAACGATTGACAAATTCTTCGCTATCGCTACACATGGTCTTCGTTTTATTCTTTGAGATCAGCGAGTATCAATCCATCATTCCGGCAAGAAATTCGAAGAAAAAAATCCAAAATATTTTAAGAACAAGAAACACGTATATATCAATCCTGGTTGAAATCAGCATAAGACGTTAAATGATGCTTTTTTTACCTATCGAATAATATTTTTTTTTTAGAAAAATTTTTTTTTTTTTTTTTTTTCGGTAGCTAGTAGCTATGGCTAGTGGCTAGTGGCTAGTGGTAATGGCTATAGCTATAGATATAGTATACTATTATAAAAAATAACAGATGAGAATTTCCTTTTATGAAATTGCGAGGAAATTTTCTCAGTCGATCGATGCACTGCCCGCAATACAAACTATAGAATACAATACATACATGGTAAAGTATCACAGCAATTATACATCCACTTATAGAAATATTAGCCCGCCCAAAATTAAATAGTGTTAATAAGCAGTAAATATCATTATCAATAGCAATTTAGATCAATTACGAATTTTTACTGTTTTTAGGAAAATTTTATAAAAACAATAGCTAAATTAAAAATTAAAAACTGTTTTAAGACTCTTAATATGATGCTAGTTATTTAATTTTACATTGCTATCAAAGTAGTGTATGCTCTTGAGCCTAGCGAAGCTTGGGTAATTAATAACTGAGCAGATGTCATACTACATGACTTCAGATTGTAGTACATCCTTGGCCAGATGATTCTTTACACAATGATAGCACCTGCAACAATGAAAATTTTGGATCGAATTAATGATATTCACATTAGTTCAAAATCAAAAATATAAATTGGGCTATGCTGAAGTGAGGGTCTCTATTTTTGATATATAAACTTGCTGACCTTTTTTATTAGAAATTCTAACCCTAAATTCCAATTTAACTTTAAAGAAAAACTGAAAAAATACACCCATAAAAGTTTAAAATTCCATAATTAAATAGTCAAATTTCAGTTTCTACTACAACAAAGCTTGTAATGTCGAAAGCTTTAATGAAGAAAAGTATTTTACGATGCATAAAATTTGTTTGTGTCTGAAGCGAAGCAAATGGTTTTGGTTATAATTTTCTTGAAATTTAATAAGGTACAATATTTTTAGTATTTTTTAAAAACTTTCAAAAATACAACTTTATAAAATCTTATTAAGTTTAATGCTAGGTTTCAATTGACAGTTACCTTTTTGACAAAAATTTGGTAAAATTGATAATTAAATATTAATATATAGAATAAACAAAGCAAAACTAACTTAATGTTGGGTTGAGCTATTCCTCAACACAAATTTGGGTCGAGTTCACCCTGGAACCATTTCAGATTTGCTTAGAGTTGTTTTAGTTTCACTCCAGATATTTAAACATATCTTTAACCAGTATTAATGTTTTTATTAATCGACAATTACACCATACCTTTAGTCTAATTTCATTTTTATTTATAATAAGTATTTATTAAAGATAGTATCACATATCAATACGGTAATTATCTTACACAATATTTCATATTTTGTGTACACCAAATAGTTCCAATTTTCAGTACAAAATGAATTGTTTAATATGCCACCTTTGTACTTAAAATAACATTTAGATGGATTTTTCAGCTCGGCAATGTAAAGATAAAAATTATACTAGTGTAGTGTAGTACTAGGTTGGTAAAAAAAGAATAGTTTAAAAATGTTATTTAAATTTTTTTATTGTAACATAAAACCATTTTAAAAAATTGACTGCTGAATCTGAAATTGAAACTATTGTTTCTGCTTGGTTGATTTCTGTACAAGCAAAGCTCCATTATATACTGATATTTGTTTTTGAAATCCTATTACATTTTACTAGGTGTTCTTTTAGCAATTGATAGAATCTTTTTTTACAGTGAATACACTTTTGACAGGGTGTCTTTCGTCCTTGTTTTTCAACTTGTAAAGTTGACTGGATTTCTTTAAAATATGGTCTTTAAAAGAGACATGATGGATAACAAATAGTTTATTTTCTTAATTCTAGTAATTATAATAATATTTATTAAATTTATGATAGCAACAAGTATATCAGAATGTTTTACGTATCATGCTTTTCAAATTACTGTGATCAGCAAATTTTCATGTAGCACAAGGAATCAGGAATCTGGAAAAATGCCAGTATATGTTTGATTTTTAGCCGATCACAGTATATTAAAACCTATTTTAAACCAAACAATCATGTTTTTTTAAAAAATCATTTGCCATCCCTATGTAGTACATGTTGGTGGAATAGGAAAGATTTTACCAGTATTAATTGTTATACTAATAATTATTATTACAACTTATAGTATAAAAAATTACTGTATAATTTATCACAAGTAATATAATGGGCAAATAACAATTTCATCGAATCTATCAAATTATACTACTATAAAGCCAAAAGAAATTACACCACATACTATTATTAAGTTATTCCAGCATCGTTTTAAGCTATTGCTACTATTTTTTACATTAGATGAAGCAGTAGGTGCAACAGTAGATGCAACAGTAGGTGTTGTAGCATTACGAATAGGCGAATTATTCTGTGTTTCTGGTAACGACTTTTGTGTTGTCGGAATACTATTTTTATCTGGGCTTATAGGAGTCGATGATGTGGGGTTCACCGGCGTACTGTATGCACAGATTTGGGCGACAGAAGGCTATGTTTTGTGGTAAATAATTAAACTTGATCGATACAAGTTTATATAAATAAGAGTATTGAATTTAAGATGATAAATACCTCTAAAGCTTTTCCTTCATTTGTAATATTTATATCGTCCGCGCATTGTAGGAAACAAAGTTGAATTGCTGTTTATAAACAGATCGAACATTGTCAAAACTCGACACATTCTTTGTAAAATGCGCCTCACAACGTGTTTTCAGTAATTACCTTTAACAGCATCGCATTGACAATTATAATCCATTGGTGCGCATTTCAATTTCATGTATTCACCGCGGTCCCTACATTCTTTATATACATACATATTAGTACAAGTCGATTCGACAGATGGTATCAATATGTGAAAGATCGCTAGCGAAATTTGTAGGAGAGCTATGATTCGCATTTTTTTTTTGTTATTTAATTTGATTAATTGTTTGAAATAAATTTTCAAGATGAAATATCAAATTGGAAATCTGTAAAATGGTTTGAAATAATCGCGCGATTTAAATGATTTTTTACTTTCAAAAATTAAAATAATTTGAAATAATCGCGCGATTTAAATGATTTTTTACTTTAAAAAATTAAAATAAATGATTTTTTACTTTAAAAAATTAAAATAAATGATTTTTTACTTTCAAAAATTAAAATAAATGATTTTTTGCTTGCAAAAATTAAAATATATTGATCCTTTTTTATGTTACATTTTGTTTTATTACGAGCAACAAATTTTACTCCTTTTTTTTATTCCTTGATATTTTGCTATTTATAGACTTAGGGCTTCAAATGTTGGCGAACAGACCGAGCATGACTAATTAATTAGTGGTAAATGCCAAAAAAAAAGGAAAGGAAAATAGATATTAAAATGTATTATCTTAACGGTCATTTGTTGTGCATATTTTCATCAAAAGTTGATCAAACTGTAGATTATTTTGTTAACAATACCCTGGCTTAACTCTCTCACATGATTTTTGTCAGGAGGAAATTTACAGCTAATTAGTACATTATTGACTCGATATATTATTAAGGAAAATACCCCGATTTATTTATTGTTTGTACAAATATGACGAGAAAATATTACAGTATTATAGTTTTTAAACACAGACGGGATATTAATTACCCTTTAATAACAACCCGGTAGTTGTTACAATAATTTATGTTGATATTTTTTACGATTTAAAAAAAAAATTATTTTAACGGCTAAGAAAAATTTTAATTTTATATTTAATAATGTTAAAAATTAAACCATTATAGAGAATCTTTAAATATTATTT